GGTATGCAGGAGGTGGATCAAAACCACCCGTTCCTGTGCGCCCGCTAGTTTCTCCGTCCCCACTCGAGCCCAAGCCTGGGGCAGGTCCACTCTCCATCGGCTCATATCCATACCCGAGTCCGGGGCTTTCGTTTGTCAGCAGCGCCACTGCCTCGTTAATGTCATTCTTTGCCAGACGGAGCGCTTTCCGAATAACGTCCGGATCGGGGAAACCCATGCAGAGGAGCGTGGTGATGTGCTGCTCCTCTTCGGTCTCCATTTTTGAGGTGTCTCCGTCTCTCAAACTAGTAGTAACGGGGTTCTCGACACAGCCCTGTAGCTGTGCACGCCGCCATGTTTACAGTTCGCCGCTGTTAGCCTGTCACGATCTGACTTTCCCACCACAGCGCCAACCCTTGTGTAATGCTGGGTTTCGTTACCTTCACAACTACAGGCTCTGCGCGAGAGCGCGCTGAGTTCCTTGGTTAAGAGTCAAAAATGTTCTCTCGTCTCAAAATAAACACACTGTCAGGGTAATGGTGTGTTAAAAAAAAAATATATCAGGTCACAGTATTACCATCATTAAACAATCGGATTGTAAAGTTTTTTGTTCTTCGTCAAACACAAGACACTTCCTTCACTATCTATGTTTATATTTTTACTTCTCACCTCCATTACAGTCTCACACACTTATATTCTAATTTTCTTGAATTGATTTCCTTTCTAGTATTACCTACAAATTAATAATTATGATCTACACACCCAATAATTAGTGCCCTAAGGCCTGAATTCATCAGTTAACCCACCCAACACAACTGAACAATAGAGTTTTTGATAAAGCCAAACAATTTCTTGCTGATTACTGATGACTACTAAACAACTCTGTCATATATCCTAATGGTGTAGTTGTCCAATTTCCACCACAGTAAGCACACCCAATCTGTATAGTGTAGTTCCATCTCTATGCTTTCATTATTAACCTAACCTTCTGTCCATCCTTCCAGTTATATTTTTCTGTTAGGTCAACTGTTAAATTAACTATTAATTAATTAAAACATTCCCTGCCTTTATTTCCTTCTTCATTTTAGCCATTGGAAGTCATTTTTGCCTTAAATGATGGACCATGCCATTTTTCTTTTTTTTCTTTTCTTTGCTTATTCTTATGATTGGTCTCCTGTTCATGTTTGGTGTCTTATTTATTCAGACCAGCATATTGTAATAATTAAATTACTCCTATAAATTAAGCAAACGTGGTTCGTCTTTTAATAACATTTGAATTATTGAAAAAAACTTATTTTAGCTTTACGTTCTATGTTAAAATATCTTAAAATTACAAATTACATTAGAAAGGCGTGGCGATGCGCGCATGCGCACTGACATTAACAGGGCGTGTGGACATCACGTGATCCCTGAGCTCATGTGACACAAGATTATTCCAGGAACAAAATGGCAGCGACCGGCGACGACGCTTCAGCTATGGACAGCATCTCCAGAGCACCAGCTGCACAGGCAGCAGCTCTAAACCCGCCTGCCAGCGGCAGCAGTCAAACCGAAGGGCCGAAGGACGCAGCAGCTAACCCGACACCAGCTCCCAGGAAGCCACACTCCAACAGTTTGTTTCCCTTGTTCTCTGCAGCTTTCTAAGGCTAATAACACCATGAGTGACGTCCCTTTGTTTTGATATAAGCTGTCGTCACGTCGATCACCGTTTACACTCAATTGACAGTCACGCTGACCTGTATACTGCTCTGTTTGACGTGTCCAGGTGATGGTGGGGTGGAGACAGCAGAGGAGGCTGTGGAGCCTGCAGAGCCAGACATCAATGAGTTGTGCACTGATATGTTTGAGAAAATGGCTATTTTTCTGCAAGGAGAACTCACAGGTTTTCTTAATATTCCTTTATGTATATTTGTTACATATAACATTTATCTTAGTCCTACCTAGTGGTAGGAATATCTACTGATACTGATATCACTGCAATACCTTTTTATGTATTTCTAAAGTAGATAGCATTCTAATTGTTTCTCCTGTTTCATCAATGTTCCCTTTCTAAATCAGGTACATGTGAGGATTACCGTCTGTTGGAGAACATGAACAAGTTAACGAGCCTGAAGTACATGGAAATGAAAGACATTAGCATCAATATCAGCCGTAACCTGCAGGACCTTAACAACAAATGTAAGTTGAACGTATCTTCATTTTTCCAACTGTTCCCTTTAGGGCTCCCTTACTTCGAGGCTTGCCTGGTTAATACAACTCCAACATCCTCTGTCCGACCTGCTCATTTCTGTTTGTGTTCAGCATCTTCATCTCTGCCACCTCCATCTGAGCCTATTGTCTATTAGACAGAGCCACTGTCCATACATCATAGCAGGTCTCACTATTGTCCTATAAACCTTTCCTTTCAACTTTGCTGCTTTTCCTTGGTCAAAAATCACCCCTGACAGACGTCTCCGTCCATTTTACTCTGCCTGTGTCATTTTCTTAAATTCTGTTGTGTACAACTGGTTGGTTGACTGTTGGTACTTCAACTTGCTCACCTCTATGTTTTCTCTCTGTTGATTTTGTGTGTTCATCTCAGGCCAGTTGGTCAATAATACTTGAGATGTTTTGTGTTTGTTTCTGTTTAGATGCGAGCCTACAGCCTTATTTGGACCAAATAAATCAGATTGAGGAACAAGTCTCTTCCCTGGAACAATCTGCTTACAAACTCGACGCATACTCCAAAAAGCTGGGTGAGGGCTGATAAAGTCAATATACATCTTACAAGATCTGATTGGAGCTAGACTACTGTGGCTGCAAACATATATACAATAGGTCCAACATTTAATAGGAAAGCCTTTCAGAAATTGTACATGAAAACATTCTGTAAGATTTCTCAAACTGCTCCCTAATATTAAATATATTATATTTAGTCTCTTCATTTATCATCTAACATCTTAACTCCTTAAAAAGAGACATCTCTGTCCTTGTTTTAAGTAATAATTCATAGTGTATTGATTGCCAACAAATTACTCTGTATTAATTACCTAACCGAATAATTCCACCGAGAGCATTAAAAATATTGGAATCGTGCCATTAAGAGTTGTAAAATATTTGTATTTCTCTTGATGTGCTGCACAGTACGAAGTACGCCATCAGGTGGCGCTGTGATGCCGTTATAAGTTCGTCGGCTGGATTGTATGACAACACTACGGAACAAAATTGAACTTCTATACCTGTTTTTTTTTTCTATAGAGGCCAGATTTAAAAAACTGGAGAAGAGATGAGCAGGAAGAAGAGGCAGAGTGAGTGTTACGGTGCCTTCTTACCTTCTGTCATCCAGCCCTCCTGCCCTGCCCTCGTATGGAAGTTTAGCCAGGTGCAGCGGGCCAGACTGAGACTGGAAAATTGAACTGTCAGAGCCACTTTGACACCTGGAATGGACCAAGAATGAAGAAGTGCTGCAGCAACAGGCTTATATTAATCCCTACCAGTAGATGTACAGCAGGTGCATCTTTAACCATAAACCATATATGACTGGATAAACTACCAGAGTATTACATATAACATTTGGCAGAATCAGTCTACTAATGTGGTTTAAACGAAAGCTAACTCAGAAAGATTGGCATGTAGCATCACAAATGGATATTTGACCTTTATCTGGTATGTTATTTGACATGCTCATAGAGTGTAAGAGTAATATTTTAGCTATCCTTCCAAATTACCATCTGAAATATGAGATGGACCTGAATTGTGCTTTATGAATTATTTGTTCCAATAATAGGAAAAGTGTAAGAGTCTGTTCAGATTATCATGAAATTATTTAAAAAGCGAATGTGTTTAAAGTAGAACGATCCCACATGCTTTGTAGAGTTTTAGTTTTGTTTTGGAAAGTTGGATATGTATGACTTTTTTTTTACTTGTATTGACACAGGAGACTGGATACCTTTTTAAATAAACCATTATGTCCATACATTTGCTGATATTGGTTTATCATTTATCAATTTTAAGTTAATATCAACCTTCGTCAGCAGAGGGCAGTCCTGAACTACAATAAAAACGAAAAAACTTAATTGCCATTCCAGTTTGATTAAAAAGACGGTAAGAACTTAACTCCTCTGCCGCCGTCACAGATAACTGTAAAAAAAAAAGTAAGGGAAAACCCTACACTTTGATAATAATATAAAGAGTTTTACATGTGCACTGTCTGTTCCTCCTTAAAATAAACAGTTTTGTTAAGGTTTGCACGGCTGCTTGACATTTGTGTATTTTCCATATTTCAATACATTTAAATACATCCTCTAAGTGCTGAATATAAAAATGCCATATTTTCCGTCTTAAAAAATAACAGATGTTATTGTGCTTTTAACCTAAGAAGCTGGAAAGTTGCAACAGAACCTACTGCTGTAGACCACAAAAAACATTCAGTTAGTGAATCTCTAAGGAGCTGGAGCAGCTTGAAAATGCACCTTAAGATTTCTTAACATGCTTAAGGGCCACATGCACTCTGATTATCTACACTGATGTGGCCTCCTGTGTGTGTGTGTGTGTGTGTTTTTGTGACTTGCCCATATTATGTGTACATATGTTTAAGTGAGGACTAATCTAAAACAGGTCTCTGTCATTAGTCCAGCTGAGGCCCCGGCACAAAGAGATGTCATTATTCATACTGTAAGGTTATTTACTCTTTCACTGTGTATCCTCTCTCTCTCTCTCTCTGTCTCTCCTGCTAACTCTCCCAGCTATAAACTTGTCTCTGCTCCCAAAACATCAAATGTAGTGCTGTGAAATAACGGTATTCCTACTCTCTTTTTGAAAGCAAAAAGAGAGTCAGAAGACAATCAAACCTGGAAGTCAAGTATACAGATTGACAGTCCAAAATCAGCATTCGTTTTTATTTAAATAGTAACTAAAAGTATTCCGTAGAACGTGAGCTACATAATGGAATGGCATTTTATATTTATTTTCTAGATTTTATGATTTTTGCATTTTGTTTAAACATGTACTTGAGCTGATAAATTCCACTGTGATGGTGAGAATAAAGGGGGGAAACACAGCACCAGTCAAACATTTCACACCCTCTGCTTGAGCCTCTGATTTCCAAAAGTTATTTTTGTAAGGTTTTCTTCCTAATGGAGAAAAGGAAGCAGTGTAACAAAGGAAATATTACATAGAGCCAGTTGGATTAACAGATTCAGAGGCTCACAAATTCACCATACATGCTTTTAAATTACATCGGTGATAGAAATGCTAGTTTGAAGAGTTCAAAACCTGTGGTTCCCACATGTTTCCTGTAGTGCCCCCCTTTGGCAGATAGATCAGTTGTCCAGCCCCCACATGTACAGTACAACACTGTTATTCCCACCTAACATTACAAAAAAAAAAAAAAAGAAAAAGAAATAAGTCATTGCAATTTTCCCACTGAGACAAGAGAAAAAAGTAGATTATCAACACTGAAACTGTGTACCAGCAAAAGCTCTGTTCCCCTTGGGAGGGGCGACCCCCACTTTGGGAACCACTTATGTAGACAGCGAGTCTATAATACATCCCGTGGACACACACACACACACACATTGCAAAACAGTACATTGGAAGCTAGGCTAAGCAAAGCTATTGGTTCCGTGTGGATTTTACACGAATAATCGGAATGTTTAGCGAAATGGGTCTCAAAAACAGACAAAATCTTTCAAAGGGATTCATATAATAAAATAACAATGTCTCTATTTGGTCTGACAAGCCTAGAGACAACAATGGAGACTGGGCAGCTATCAAACAAATGCCTGTCATCAGCTGCATCGTGGGGCCTGCTTTCCCCCGTAAGTCCAACGCAGGGATCGGTCCTGCTAACAATAACAAGGCAGCGAGCCACACCACAGTGTTGTGCAACTAACAAGCAAGAAAAAGTCTGGGAAAATATCATCTTTGTTCACGATTACAAGCCGTCAAGGACACCCAGAAATTGTTTTCGACCATATTTGATCGACCGTTGCTCAGAGCTAGCATCTCTTAACAAGTACACTAAGTACTTCCTGTACAACAGTGGAACTCCACAGAGAGCCAAGAGGGTTTTATGCAAATGATGAAAAGGTCCATGTTTATATGCATTTCAAAGGAGCCAATAGATCTGTGAGACATTTCTCTGCAAATATAAACCACATGTGAGATGTGAGGCACTAAGTCAAACATCAAATGCTTTACTCACGAAGGGCATGAAAAGTCACCAGGTCAGCTTTTGGCACCTCAATCCCTCACTGCAGCACTTTCACCTTCATCATGGAGCGTGTGCACATGAGAAGAACAGGAACAAATCCTACATGTCACAGTTCAGCCCTTTGAAACTTTAACCCAGAGCCAGTGCCTGTCATGTGTGAAGAACACAAGGTGATTGCCATTTATTCTGATTGCAGTGAAATGTCCACACACCACTCCATTATTTCAAACATTAAACAGAACCAGATGGGTACGCCGCGCAAAACCAGAGGTGAAGCAATTTGTAGCTTTGACACAGAGCCCTGGGTTTCTCAGCTGGTTGGAGGTTTGGGGACAGTCACTTGACCCAGCCTCAATATATATATATACAGTATATATATATACATATATACATATATAATCTCACTGCAGAAATAGTGCAAATAGAAATGTCACCTGAAATCTCCCATCTGTAATCCTAGTGTAAAGTCCCTGTTTACTGCTCATCTCCATGTTTTCCATGTATGTTTGAATTCCCTATTTGGGTTTTCTCTGAAGTACCATTCATGTATACAACTCCACATAAATGCACTTACTCGCCATTAGAACTATACTCAGACTTGTTGGCACCAAGGCCAATTTTGGGAGGACATTCCATACACAACAACCTCCTGAAATACCATCCAGAAAAGAAATAGAAGGAGTGATCGAAAAGCATCAATACAGATGATTGTTACCTAGTTATGGATGAGAGGTTTTAGTCA